GGGGGCGGGGGGGGGGGGGGGGGGGGGGGGGGGGGGGGGGGGGGGGACAGTAGCTGTTGGGCTTTAACTGTAGAGGGAGTGGAGAGAAGAGAGGAGAGACACGGGGAAATAAAAGGCGTTAAAAGGAGTGAGGCTGAGATGGGGGGGTGCGCGCCAGCAGTTCCATGTGAGAGACGAGGAGGAATGTTGGATGGCCATATACAGAGCCGAGAGAGAGAGAGAGAAGCAGACAGATCCAGGCCGAATCTAAAGAGCAATATTAAGTTGCAGATTGTGCAGTCAATCGAGAAGAAGCGCCCTCTGTTAAAAGTGGTTTAAGGGAGAAAGAAGCACAACAAAATGCGTGAGAGACCCAAGACCTTCCATTGCCCCGGGATTACTGTGATTTAATATGACTGCAATTACGGCATCGACTCAGACACCTTGACACGTTTTGGAAACTTTGGATGCCTCTTCTTCCTTTTTTTTTTCTCCAATATTTGAATGTAACACATGAGGTGAGGCGTTGAGACGACTCTGAAGTGTCGAAAAGCTGAGAATACAGCGAGGCCTGTACACACACACACACACACACAGATGTGCGCGCTCGCTGCCTTTCTCTCCATCAGCCGGAAGAATTCCTTAGATCTTTTGGACTTTGGAGCCCACCGCCCCGTACCCGCCCCCCACCTCTACCTATGTGTGCAGGTATGTCTTTATCTATAAAACCACATGTTGGCGTCTGGAGACAGCCGCTTCACAGTTTATCGAGAGAGAAGACTTGAAACACAACAGGACCCGCTACACATGGACATCGCAGTATATGGGTCTGACACTGACACGTGCCTGAACAATATAGATTTTGAGGGCTGGATGTGCGGGGATGTATAGCATGATATGAGGACAACAAAGGACAGACAGTCCTGATCCTTAATTCCCTTTAAATGTCTCATAATCACATTGGTACATTGGGCAACATCCTTCTTTTTCTGTGGCCTGCGGGTCGTGGGGATGGTAGGTCTTATAAAAGCTAAGCTGGCGCTTATAAAAAGCCCAATTACCGTGAGCTATGTAGGTTGAGTGTCATCAGGTCCCTATTAATGAAAATAGCCAAAGCGACCACTCACTCACCGGGCTATGTTAACGTGGTCACAGAGATGGCAGACTCGCCGGTGTCGCCGCCGCCAAGTTTAGCCTCTCAAGACATGTCGCGGCCCTGAGTTCTTACCACATGGGTGTTAACGGCTGGTGACGTTTTGTTTTGAATCTTCTGCCAGTGTGTGTCGTCACTGATCGGGAAACTGGTGACAACTAGAGGCACGTGTTGGCATCAAAACCATTCTGTAAACTCACCGAGGACTGTCTCAGCTCCACACCAGTGTGAGAGAAAGAAAAGAGAGATTTTATTGCATCTTAGTGGCCTACGTCAAAGATGCGGGAATCTAAAACTGCAGATCAGTCATTCTCATGCTCAGTTTTCTTTTCTCCGTAGATTATTACTTTAATGGATGCCATAATGATTAAGATATTACTATCTCTCACTTGATCTGGAGACTGCTTTGCCGTTACCTTGGAAGCCACTGCTGTAATGCCAAGAGATGTCATCAGCTGACAATAATCTGGGAATTCAACCCCTTTTCTTGTGTGTGTGTGTGTGTGTGTGTGTGTGTGTGTGCGTTATATATAGGGAGCACCTGAAGACTTCTGCCCCCCCCCCCCTGTTTTGAGGAAGCACTGCCTCAGGCTGTGGGATTTCGTCAACTGACAATTCCAGACCTGGAGTCGTGCCACTTCGCTGAGAACACTGGTGTAATATCAACCCCACCCTGATCCACCCGGAGCTCCAGTCACTCCACCTCCTGCAGCAGCATCAGTTTCTCATGGAAATATAATGTCGTCTCTGGTTATGCGCCACCAATCTCTTCTTATTATATAAATATATATACATATATATATAAATAAATATATATGTATATAAATAAATTAAATAAAAAAATATATGTATAAATAAATAACTATATATAATAAATATATATTTATATAAATAAATTAAATAAAAAAATATATGTATAAATAAATAACTATATATAATAAATATATATTTATATAAATAAATTAAATAAAAAAATATATGTATAAATAAATAAATATATGACTAAATAAAAGAAGAAAAAATACATACATATAAATATCCTGGATCAATGGGGTGCATGCCTGAGGGGGGCTTACCTCCTTCAGGTGCAGTGTTCTGCGTAGCCGACGGCCGCAGGACCACACACAGCAGCGCCCATGTCGCCAGCATGCGGCTCTCCATCACAACAGTTATGAGTTAGTTCCCCGCGAAGCAAATTACGACACAAATGGGTTCCTGAGTCAACCGTATATCCACCACAGCCCGGAGGAGCGCATTCCCAGTCAGTGAATTACTTTACTTAGTCAGGAGCACAATTGAGTCACGTCCAGTCCGGCTTTTTTTGTTTTTATTTCGCTTCTTCTCTCTCTCCCTCGGTGAGCATGGTCGCTCGGTGACTGGAGACGCTGGAAGTCAAACTTTAACTAAACTGTGAACTTCCAGTCGCGTGCGCGCTGCGTCTGGACGCTCCCTGTCAAGGCGAATGCGCCTGGCTCGCGCTCGGGACAACGAATATCAAGCACGCGAGAAGTAAATGCAAGTTTTCCGGGCAAAACTTTCAAAATAAAACTTTCGTTCGCTTTTAGGCTATCTTATTTTCTTAAAAAGAAACGCAATGCCAATTTGCCTATTTGCCAAAATACAGTTATGGATTTAGTGTTTTAGGGATTTATTAATTATAAACCTGAAATTTTGGTCAACACAAAGATTTTGCCTGTTGTGAAATAAAGCATTTAAGGCATACAAAATCACAAGTAGGCTTATTCCACTTTTCAAATTTTACTAAAATAAAAGTGCAAACTTATTCTCACAAAGTAAAGTATTCCTAATGCCGAATGGAGTATTATATTAGCCAATCAAATATGCTATGCCATTTGATCATGATTGACTTTAACTGATTTATATAGTGTTGTCTGGTTTAACAGCAATGACAATTATTTACATTAAGTAGGTTATATGTTAAAAAAAATTTAATTAAAAATGTTAAAGGCCCTTAGTGGCGTTTTCTTGTGAGCAGAGTTGTTGGTCACCAAAAGGCATTGTGTGTGTTGTGTGTGCATAACAAAAGCGTTGAATGCATTTCCTTCTTTTTAACATTTGCAAAGCTGATAAAAAAAAAAAATCCTTTTCAAACCTGCATTATTTACAGCCATGTTTATTTGCTGACAACCTTTTTCTTCCTGGCCTTTCCTGGCACGGTGCTACGTTTCTTAACTGTTCCTCCACCTGTAGATCAGTGGGATAGTTTGAAACCACTGGCAGCATTGTGTGTCGATTTAGCTATTTAAGTGTGCATGTGCATCCTCATCCCAAAAACAAAATCTGCAAAGTAACTCTAGCTATCAGATACATATAGACAAGTAAATAAATACAATATTTAAATGAGAAATGTAATAAAGTATCATAAAATAGAAATACCCCAGTTAAGTATAGGTACCACATTGTATTTAGTAAGTAAACCCCCACTGTGTTCAGTAGATTCAAACAGACTTGAGTTCTAGTTTTACATGTTTATATTCAGTGACTTTAACACAAATAAGTGTACAGAAACGGTTGACACAGCTGTACCACACAGACAAACCGCTACTGACAAAAAGATGCCTTTATTTTGAGGTTCAAGCTGCTTTGACTTCCTTCTGGCTGCCACTGTCTGGCTTGACACATCTCGCTTTCTCGTGTTGTCCACCTCACTCCTCCCTTCTGTCTCCAGTCTCCCCAGTTACTCAGAATAGTAAATAGGGCTGTGTTCACCATACAGGCGTCAACACCTTGGATCTGAGCCACTATCACATTTAAGTCTTCCCCTTACCTTATTAGCAGGGATATAAATGGGGAAGCCACTAAAAGCTCACTTTACATGTTTTGCTGATACATTTTAGAGTGTGTACACCACAGAAGGTATTAGTTGTTGGGATTTATAGAGTAATAAGAGCATGCATTAATACATCTGTAAAATGTATATCTTTGCTGAAATGCCCACATGCCCTCTTGCTATCTTTTGCACACACTGAGTTAGTCTGCAGACAGTGCCGGTACTGTTTACATTTAGAATTAACTTATTTTCTCAATATTTGTCTGGTGAAGACAACCAAGAATGTCAGCTATCCGAGCGATTGTAAGGAACCTCTGGTTCACTGAGAGCGGCCACAAATACTTGCAGTATTCAAACCAATGGGAGTGCATCTTTGAAATTATACAGCACAGCGTCCTGGAGTGGAACAAGGGTCAGCAGCTTTGCATGCAGGCTGCTCACTGAGGTCAACCACTCTGCCTTTTAAAATAAAGTTACATTTCCATGTAGACAGTTAGTGAGTGGGCAGCACGGACTCACAGGACCCGCTGTTCGCTCGTAAAAATAAAGGTGCTAACTAGAACCACAAGGGGTTCTGCGGCATTTCCTCATGGAACCATTTTTGGTTCCTGATAGAACCTTTTATAAGGGATCCACATGGAGCCCTTTCAGAGGTTTCTACCTAGAACCCAACATAAACTCCTAGAGACATGTGTGAAAGGTTCCACCTAGAAGCCCTTTGGAGAGGAACTAAGGAAAACCCTTCTGGTTCCACCGAGTACCCCGTCTGGAGGTCCTATCCAGAACCTTTCCACCTTCCAAGGGTGCTAACAAGAACCCACCCGGGGCGTTCTTCCGAAAGTCATTTTATATTAAAAGGGTTTCATCCGGAACCTTGCTGTATTCAAAGGATCGCATCTAGAACCAGGGGGTTCTATTGATATCTATCTCATATTTGAAGGGTTTCATCAAGAACACTACCACGGGGGTTCATCGAGAACCCTTTCATATTCCAAGGGTTGCATCTAGAACCCACCAAGAGTGTTCTATTGAGAACCCTTCTAAATTCACTCCTGCAGCACAACCCACAACAGACATGGTTGACAATCAGTTGTTGGGAATGTGAGCTGAGGATCCTTTAACATCCATGCATTTAATAATCCATGACAAACTCTTTGTCCCAAAAAGAGTTCTTTGGATGAAAATGGTTCTCAATGGAACCCTTAGTCTTACGAAGAACCCTTGAGAAAACCCTTTCTTTCTGCAAATTGTTTTGTGGGAACCTTTGCCCTTGAGGAACTTATTTCTGAGAGTGTGATTCAGCACGGAGATTATTAATACTGTGTGTTTCTGTCTGTGTGTTTGTGTTTGTGAGACAGAAAAAGAAAGGAACAATGGGGGTAGGAGGGAATAAATGGACGGCAGAGGATGCAAGAATTCAAAGGTCTGGATTCCTCTGTGACGTATCGTGTCCAAACACTTCTATTGTCCCAGTGAGACATTGACATTGAACACACCCTTCCCAATACACACACCTAGTAACTAAACACTACGGCTACAGTGCACTCAGTGATTGGGACACATTATGATAGCTTTGCCTGACCTATTTCACTGAACTAGTCTATATGGAACACATTTGTAAAAATAAATACAATACAATCACTTTGTTATGCTTTGTGCAATTATATAATATACAGTTATGTTCGTGACTGAGGAGAAATTTATTTTCTTTGCATTGACTGTGACGACTTTGGCAGCCATTACAATTTAAGTCCGTGTCCGGTGTCTGAAAATTCTTGTTTTATGCTCCGTTGCTAAAATTGAACTCCAAATGTCTGGGAAGTCAAGTTCCCTGCTGCATCACGATCCGTTTACACCCTGCTGCTACTGCACAATGGACATGCAACATTCATTTCTCCGCAGTTTTTTCCAGTACCTCCCCTCCAGGCCTGAACAAGTTGTCACACGCACATCTGCGGCCCCTCCGAAGCCCGTGGTCAACGACACTGTGTTGTTTGGATATCACTACAGATGGGAGTCCTCTTCCAATGCTTCCAATATTTTTTTTACAGCAAGCTGTAAATCAGTCAGATACACAGTACACCCCCACCTGGAACTACTTGGCACCAATGTGTGTGAGAAGCAGCAAATAGCTGAACATGCATATGTATCTCGCACAGAGCATGCTCTGTTCTCTGCGTGAGCATGTGCGCACATTTCTCCATGTATTTCACCATGTGAAGCTATGGCTGAGTTGTGCAGTGAAGGATTACATGCAACAGGTGTCAAGCACGCGAAACTGCAGCTCGAGTCGGCGTTCGACGCCACGCCGACGATCCACCGACATCGGCAGCTCTTTCAACGCGGTCTCGTGTCAGCTTCGCCACCTCGCTCACAAACCGTCACAGTCCCGGTATGATGACGACTAAAAGTCCTGCAAGAGGGTAAAAGGTGAAAACAGCAACAGCAAACTTGACCTTTGAGCTGTGGGCTGCGGCAGAAGGACGAGGAGTAAAGGGGAGGAGAGGCGAAAACAGCGAGATGTCATCACTGGAAGAGTTTACGACATCCAGGGTGCGATAACATGGAAATAAAGAAGAGCAGCCCATCCTTTGGCGAGAGGGTTGAGGCCAGAGTTACTGCCGCTTGTAACTTTGGCCCATAATACCAGCCTAACGTTGTAATTACCCATTCAAACGTTGGCTGCCGAGGTTTTCGGAATGCCACTGTCGGTAGTTAAGTGAATTCCACTATATTTGCCAGCTTTTTTCCAACTTTCTGCCAGCCTCTGGTATTCGAGGTTTGGTTTATATCAAACCCTGTTTTTTTGTGGGGATTTGAGGAAGAAAAGCAGCTTTGTCTCTGCAAAGAAAAACTGCATCACAAAGACAAGGAAAGAGAGGCTGGATGGAACACCGATCAAGGAGAAGGAGAGAGATTAGAGAGAGGAACAAGGGGCGATGCGGGTATGAGAGTGATAGGAAAGGAAGATACATCCAACGCAAAACGATCTCTGCCTCCTGCCGTAGTGGATTCTAACGTGACACATGAATAAAAGCCATTAAACTAAAAAAACAAACACAGACAGACAAGTCGGAGGGACTTCCCATCACTGGGATGTGATGACCATGGAAATGCGCCAAGTGCCCACTGCCTTCCTGAACAACATCGACACCCCCGCTCCTGCATCTGTGGTACTTTCCTGCCCCCGCTGATCAGCATCCTGTTTGTCCACAGCAGGCCTTTTGTCTTTTTTTGTCTATAAAGACAGTTCCCTCAGCATTTAGCTTCTGGAACATTTTTTTTCATTCCAGACGTTCCAGAAGTTCGCTACGAGATGCTGCGTCTGGACGAAGTTGTTGATATCCCCCCCGTGTTTCAAGAACTCAAGACCTTTCCAGGGAAACGCTCAATCTGTGCTTTTCCCTAAACAAATATGACAAGTAACGTTAAACAGGAGCAACGGTTGGGTTCGAGGCATGACCAGGTTTTCACGGAATAAATCAGAGGGTATTATTTAAGTTTGGACAGAAGCACCTGCCTCTGCTCACTGTCTCGGGGGTTAAAACTCCGCGCACAGCTAGACCCATCTCGTTAGAATATCTGTTTTGCAACAGTTGCCAGTCTGCGAGCCTCCGCGCTGGCAAAGGCCAACACCCACTGCAAGTTTCCACAGAAACATTTCACAGGCTG